TTGCTCATCTCTGAGGTGGAGGGATCTAAGGACACAGTCACTTGCTGTAATCACTTCAGGAAGGAAAAAAAAAAAAAAAAGAAAGAAACCTTCTTTGAGAGCTGATGGAATGTCTTAAGTTTTAGGAAGAACTCAAGAAGATGATAACAGGTACTTTAGTGGAAGAGATTAAATTGATTAATGAAATTGATTTTAAAATCCATTCATGTAGAGAAAAGGGATCAAGGATCCTTGATCCAAGGATCAAGAAGGACTAATTTTAATGAACTCAGTTCTTAAATTATCTTTTTATTTTAAATTTATCATCTGTGAGGCCAGGAGATTCTGTAGAACCCAAGGAGCAGGGAAGAATGCACCTGGAGAAGAGAGATTTACATTCTCATTGGAAAATTCTCATTTATGGGTGGGACAAAGGATTCAAATCATAAACCTTAAGTGCCAGATAACTGGATTTATTGAAAGAAGTAGACTAGGTATCTGTAACTTTGTTGTTTTTCTTGCTACCCCTTCAAATTCGTGCTCTGGGCAAGTTCTCGGGCAGCCTCTGTAACCTTTATTACTCCTTATAAGAATGAGAACAATCATGTTGGTAACATCAAAACTCAGTAAAAACTCAGATTTGTATGCAGTTGGTGGCTATAAAAGCTCAGATTTGTATGCAGTTGATGTGTGAGGACTTCCCCATTGGGCTTGCAACCAGAGGCCGGGCTCCTCCAGGGTCAACCAGCTCTGTCTCCGACCCCCTCTGAGCCCAGGGGGAGCTGCCTGGGTGGTGCGGGGGAGGGGCACAGCCTGTGGTGGTGGGAGTTGGTGCAGCTGTGGCTGGCAGCACACCTTTGTGTAATGACGTGTAGCAGCTTTCTCTTCTGGGGCCCTAGTGTAGTTTCTGTGGAGCCTTAGGCCGGGAGCGTCTCCCTGCAGTTCTTTCCACACACGCTTTACCAGCTGTGCCGGCTGCTCCGTTCTGGCTGACCCCTAGCCCTACTCTGTATTGCCCTCCCCACCACCCCACCGTGCGCACAGGCCTCCCGCTTGCCCCAGTCCCCGGGGTTCTGATCTCTGCGCAGTCCTTTGCCTCTCTGGGCATAATTCCTTTCAAGATGGCTGACACGCGGCTCACTCGTGGAGTCTATCTGGCCTTCCAGGAACATAGTCCTTGGCCCCACCCTGAGCAGAAGGGCAGCTCTTTCCCTTGAGGTCTTCTGTGTCCCTCTGTCTCCTTCTCTCCCTCTCTCTCTCTGTTCTGTCACCAGGCAAACATGTCCCTCACTAAATTCCAGGGGACACTTGCAAGCTTCTCAGTGGTTCTTAAGCACTCAGCATTTGACTTCAGATAGGAGAGCACTCCCTTCCCTTTCTCCCTGACAGTTCCCTCCAAATGACTTATTTTCCTTTCATTGGCTTCATCATTTTATGACGGACCCTCATAGTGGATGCAGCATCCCACTTCAGGGTGTGCACAGATTAGCATCCTCTGAATTATCTGCCTGTGGGACCTCTGCTGACTCTAAGACAGAGGGGGAATCCCATTTTAAAGTCTTCAAATAATTAAAGTGAGTTTCAGGTGTTTCTTTTGATTATTTTCTTCAAGCCTGTCTTTATTGCTAGCTATTTCCTTTGACCTGGTCAGTCTGGATCTCCCAGAGAGAGTTCTGAGGAGGACCACCAATATTAGTTGTGGTTTGTTGGAGCCCTTCCCAGAGACTCTGGGCAGCGAGGGAAGGAGCCACAGACGGTAGGGGTACCTGGCCCCAGCTCTTGTCCAATCCCACCTGCCGGGGGGCAGAAGGCAGACCTTCTGTCTGGCAGGACCCTTTTTCCCGTCCACTGAAGCACAGCGTAATGACGTTTGGAGACAAATGCTTCAGTGAACAGTAAACACTGATTTCTGGTTATGTAAATTTTTCATTGTACAGTTTTTGTGGCCATTAGAGGAAATGAGATGAAGATTTATAACCAAATTATTCTTTTTAATAACTGAATATAAAAACAGAAATCGTGATTTTCCCTATGTGCTGTGTGGAACTCCACCTTTCTTGATTTGCTCTCTATCCAGAAGATGACAGCAGATGTTAAAATGTAAGAGAAACTTTAAAACGAAACAGAACTGGCAAGACAGCTCATGAATAATTAAGTCCAGCTAGAAGACCTCGTAGGAAATGATTTACTTGTTCTTAGAATCTGTACACTAGTGAGTAACAAAGAATACACTTGCTATAATAGCTCCTGGGCATTCAGCTTCTCACAGAAAGGATGCTCAAGGAGAAGAGAGAGGCAAAAAAAAAGAAAAAAGTCCCACACTCTTCTTTTGCTCAAAAAGATCTAGTTCTATCCCACAATTTCAGCATGTCAGTAACACAATCTGCTATGTTGCAGTTGAATTGGGAACTTCTCAACCAATAATTTCAAGGCTTAGTCATTATTTCCTGAAGGTTCACTAAATTAGTAACATTGAAGGCTAATGACTCAATTTTGTTTTAATGTCATTGTGCATATTCTTAATACACGTATATCTTGCCCCATTATGTAACATTTAATGTAGGACCATTCAGAAGGGACTATTGTGGTTCTAATTCTGTATCATTGTTTAGTACTTTAAAATGGGAAAGTGGGGGGTTTCATATGATTTCTATAATTAATTTTAAAGCAGCATTTTGTTAAAATGCTGTTTGGATAAAGAATTTGTATTGGGTAGGAAAAAAAACCCTTAATATCTCCCACTTGGAGAGAGTTTTATTTTCCGGTTTCATAATTAGGCCACTTCTGCAATCACAATTACTCAGCCAACACTGAGCCTCTCTTGTAAGGTTGCCCTACCAGAACATTCGAGCGAAAGTAAGTGAGGCCTGGTGGAGAGTCTTGCTGTGAGAGCTTTGCTAGGTCATAACCCTTCCTCCACATACCTCATCTCCCCACACCCACGTGCCCACTCCAGCCCCCTCCATCAGCGGTTCCTAACAATCCTTACTCCAAAACAAAACTGGGATCTGTCTGTTGTTTTCCATCTTGTCCATCATCACATTGATTCAGACTGTCCTCCTCTCCCACTGTGACTAGTTTGGTGTCAGGTGCCTCCAAATACCGGCTAATTGGTCTGCTGCTCTGTTAACATAGAGCAGCGAGAAGAATCTTGCATTTCTTCTCCTTAAAGTCTTTCCAAAGCTTCCCGCCTGGAATACAATCTCCTCTTCTTGCCATGGCTCACAGACCCTACCTGATCTCACACTGCACCCCCCCACCTCCTCTCCTGCCCCTTGGGCTCTCCACCCAAGCTCTTTCCTGCCTCGGGGCCTTGGCACATATTGTTCCTCTCTGCTTGGAATGCTCCTCTTCCAGATTTTAGACTCCTTAGGTCCTCTTTATCCCACAGGGTTAGTTCACATCTCCTCCTCAGAGAGGCCTTCCTGCACTCCAATCTAAGAGCCACCCTCTTTCCGGAGTTATTCCACATTGCCCTCTTTGTTCCTTCCTCGATATCTCCCCATCAGTAATTAGGACTGTTTTTCTAGTTGGATGCCTGCTCTGTGACTCCAGGGACACTGTAGTCTTTGTTCATTGCCGAGTCTTCAGTGCAGAGAACAGCACGTCATATGGGTTCAGTAACTCGTTGTTCAGCAGAGGGAGGAGGAGGGTGAGAGTGTTGAGAGCAGATGCTACGTGTATGTATTGATTTTTCCTGTGGGAAATGAGTGTTGACCCTGCAAGGCTACATATCTTTTTGTGTTTTAATGACTTAAAACCATGGTTATATTTCCTCGTCAGATTAATGTGGTTGCTGTTGATTTACAAAAGCTCTATTTCTTGTTACCAACCTGGGAGAATATGAAGTGTCATTTTGAAATGCTTCACTGTCGTCCTCTCTTCCTTGCAAGGAGAGCTTTGGGGTGTAACTATACCCGTAACCGAACCTATATATGTGAGGCTGAAATTCAGCCAGAATGCTGAATTCACATATTGAAAGACTTCAGTACACTGGAAATCGGTGCCTGCCATTCCTGTGAACCCCCAGGTGTCTTTCCCCCTTCCTGGGAAGTCTCTCTGCAGGCACTGCTGGAGTGGACCAGAGTGTCAGGTCTGGATGCCAGCAGGGTGGTGGTGCCCCTGGGAAAGGCAGTAAAGGCACTGGCACCCCAGTGGGCAGACACTTGATGCCCATTTGGCTTCCTAAGGCTATGGCCACGTGCTCATGCTTTTTCAGAGTCGCCCTCGTATGGCTGCTTTGGGGAACTGCAGCCTCTGCAGTGTTAGCACTTCAAGTAATAGCACCTGGCATATATACCGTTTGTGTTTTTAGATTTTATTTATTTGCGAGACAGAGAATGAGAGACAGAGAGCACGAGAGGGAGGAGGGTCAGAGGGAGAAGTAGACTCCCTGCCGAGCAGGGAGCCCGATGCGGGACTCCATCCCAGGACTCCAGGATCTTGACCTGAGCCGAAGGCAGTCGCTTAGCCAACTGAGTCACCCAGGCACCCGACCATTTGTGTTTAATATGCTGGGATTTCTTCATCTTTTGCCTGCTTCTGAAGGTTACAATTTCCTATTTCCCCCAGAGAGTTATGCCACGTTTTCTTTAATTAATATGTGAGTAATGTCCCTCAAGTAGAAAGACTTGAAATCCCCATGCTGTACTTTCAGTATGATCTGTTTGGAGAATAGTATCATCATCACTGTTATCTTTTGAGTACTCTAGTAATAATATCTGCAATAATGACTTGTCTACTAGAGTAAGGAAAAACATGATTTTTAAAGGCTAGTGATATTTCTGTATAAGTGAACTTTTAAGGACTTAGCTGACACGGGTCGACTGAGGATCCTGCACTGACCATTCTCTCTACTGCTTTATTGTGTACTTTCGGATGTTCGCTGTACTGGACCCGAATTCAGGTGCTTCCCAACAAAACAATTTGGGGGCGAGGGGCCTTATCTTGAATTTTTTACGTACTTGGGCTGGGATTTCTTTTTTTAACCTCTCTCTTCCTGGTCTCTCCAAATGTTACAGAGTGCGTTTCCTGATGGGTGGACGTCATGGAGAATTTAAGTTCCTGCCTCCCTCTGGCTATGCCCCTTGCTATGAAGCCTTACTTCCAAAAGAAAAGATGAGATTGGAGCCTGTGAAAGAATATAAACGTGACACTGAAGGCGTTAGAGATCTGCTGGGTACCACCCAGTCCCTCTCCCAAGCCTCTTTCATCCCATACCCCATAGACACCAGTCAGGTAGGTTCCTGCTGCCAGCAGGAGTAGATGAAGTGATAGGGCTAAATCCTTCTCTCTGTGTTGTCTCTGAACCATTCCTGTCGTCCATTCTGTATTATTGTCATGTCATGCGAACAACTGTCGTTCTTCGTGTTTCCACCATATGTGTAGATTGAGCTCTTTAAGGATTTCTCAGAGAACAAGTGATCACTTGCTACAGGCAAGGCTCTGTGAGGTGCAGGCACAGATAGGCAGTACTCTCTGGGAATTTGCAACCACACTGAAGAGGTAAAAAGCAAATGTGTTATTATTTTTTTCAATCTGAGTGTAATGCAAAATGAACTGTAGCACAAATAAGTGCTGGAGACACTTGTTAGGCTAGAATATTTCTAGAAGTCTAGTTAGGATAGACTTCAACCAGAGCCTTTAATAAGCCTAAATCAGGAGGGGCATCCAGGGTTGAAGTAACAGGAATACGGTAAGTAAAGGTGTAGAAGTAGAAACACAAAGTACGGACAGGTGGATAACCACCCTATGATCCAGCAATCGCACTACTAGGTATTTACCCAAAGAATACAGATACACTAATTCAAAGGAATACACGCATCCCAATGTTTATAGCAGCATTATCTATAATAGCCGAATTATGGAAACAGCCCAAGTGTCCATCAATTGATGGATAAAGAAGAGGTGGTGTGTGTGTGAAATGGAATATTACTCAGCCCTAAAGAAGAATGAAATCTTGCCATTTGCAACAACATGGATGGAGCTAGAGTGTATTATGCTAAGCAGAATAAGTCAGAGAATGATAAATACCATATGATCTCACTCATATGTAGAATTTAAGAAACAAAACAAATGAGCAAAGGGGGAAGAAAAGAGAGGCAAACCAGGAAAAAGACTCTTAACTATAGAGAACAAACTGATGGTGACCAGAAGGGAGGTAGGTGGGGGGATGGGGGAAACAGGTGATGGGGATGAAGAGTACACTTACCATGATGAGCACTGAGCAATGTATAGAATTGTTGAATCACTATATTGTACACCTGAAACTAATGTAACACTGTTTGTTAACTAACTGGAATTTAAATAAAAACTTAAAAAAAAGTAGGGACAGATCATAATAAAATATTCTCCTGTGACTGGATGCTCAGAGGAGAGGGAGTGTGTAGGAGAAGAGCTGGAAATAAAACTGAAAGAAATGGGATAGTGCATATGAGGGGAAAGTGCTGATAAAGGGACATTTCTTTCCCTTTCCAGGGTCTCTGTTTTGGAAGAGACACACTCACATGCTTATGACAAGGGACATAAACAACAGTTTCCAGTATTTCCTCCACACCATTGCTTTTCGAGTCACTATTCTAAACATTAGAGAAAATCATTGACAAGGAGACTTGTCTCTGAAGCACATCGGGTTAATAGTTTGTAGGAATATAGCTCTCTTGACCTATAGAAAGTCTCCAGCATATTACTTCCCCATAATATTCACGTGACCCTATTACATTCAGCTGTGTGTGCATGTTCCTGAATTTGCTTCGTACCGTCCTCAGCTCATTATTGTGAACTCGCTTAGAATGGAAAGAGCAGCATTTCCCTGCCTGCCTCACAGAGCCTGGTGTAGCACCTTGAAAGTAGTTGGCATTAAGAAGGTTGACAGGAAACTGGGGAGGAGTTGGTGAGCCAAAGCTGATCCTGGGAATTGGATCCTCTGGTTCCCGTGTATCCTACACATGAAGCTTGAGGCCCAAAGAACTAAACTAGCTTTCACATGGACACAAGGCCCCAGCACACAAGTGAGGGGAGAGCATGAGCATGATACCTACTTCTCCTCACCAATCCTCACTGAATCATCAGAAACGAGTGTTAGGAAAGGCCTCCTGGAAGAAGTGGGCCTCAAAAGAATGAGGGGAAGTTTTGATGAGGGAGGAAAGGAGGGCTTGACCAAAGAGTGGGAAGACCGTCTACACATGCAGAACTGAAGATTTGAAAATCGAAGACCACAGATAAATCAGCAAGCCAGGTCCAGACCCATAGTTGAATCTGTATGGACCCTGGAACTAGGGAGATGTTCCCAGGGAATCAAATAATAGGCAAGTTCTTGTCGGAAAGGTGCAATTTATTATCTTGAATGAGGTCTTATAATTTTTTAGGATCTACCATTCTGTGAAATTATTATCACAGGAGAAGTTACATATGTAGAGAGGCAACTCCATCCTCCCTGCGGCATAGTAACCAGTGTGCGGGCCAAGTACTGCTGACTGGAGCCCTGTCCTGGCTACCGCCAGTACCCAGGGCTTGACGCATCCCAGGCCCTGGCTGAGCGCTGGGAAGAAGGAGCCCAGCTCCGGGCAGCCCAGCCCTAGACACCGTAAGGCAGTTAGCAAGCCAGTGTTACTCTGCCCAGGTAGTCACCAAATGAGGTCACTGAAATTATGACTTAGGGTTCTTTGTGGCGGCCTTTTTCCACATTTTCTCCTTTTATTGAAGTATGTGGTTCCTCCCACATGCAAATCCCCTTCCATTCTGTGATCACCTAAGGAGCACTTAGTTTAAAAATTATCTTGGTTTACCAATAAAACCCAAATATAGCTGTAATTTGTTCGCTAATAATTTTCCCCATTTTACTCTTTATTGAAACGTCATGCCATTTATTAACTTTGACTCTTTGATGATCAGATTAAGTTGATTTTTTTTAAATGTCTTTCATTGAAAGGCAGATAATGACTATACACATAGGTTAAATATGTTATTGCTGTTTTTCTCCATGATCTCCTTATATACGTCACTGACTTGATACACATTATTTTACTAAAAAAATTTTTTCTCCCAGAGCTACCCCCCTCAAAAAAAAAAAAAAAATCAGGATTTTTGTATTAGTGGAAACACTAATAACCTTTGTAATAGAGTGAGGATTGCAAGGGACCAGGCAGGTGATGCAGAAATGAAGTAGGTCAAGTGCACAGGCCCTCCGGCTGATAACTGCCAGGGCAAAAGCGTGAGTCCAATGTTAGTGATCTTCCAAGGGATCAAAACAAACTAGAAATCTGGATTTTTATATGAAATCTCCCGTTTCTTTTTCTTTTTTTTTTTTTATTATGTTATGTCACCATATAATACATCATTAGTTTTTGATGTAGTGTTCCATGATTCATTGTTTTTATATAACACCCAGTGCTCCATGCAGTATGTGCCCTCCTTAATACCCATCACCGGGCTATCCCATCCCCCCACTCCCCTCCCCTCTAAAACCCTGTTTGTTTCTCAGACTCCAGAGTTTCTCATGGTTCATCTCTCCCTCCGATTTCCCCCCCTTCATTTTTCCCTTCCTTCTCCTAATGTCCTCCATGCTATTCCTTATGTTCCACAAATAAGTGAAACCATATGATATTTGACTTTCTCTGCTTGACTTATTTCACTTAGCATAATCTCCTCCAGTCCCATCCATGTTGATGTAGAAGTTGGTATTCATCTTTTCTGATGGCTGAGTAATATTCCATTGTATATATGGACCACATCTTTATCTATTCATCTCCTGTTTCTTAAAAGTTGCCAAGGGATAAACATGAGAAGAAGAATAATTATTATTATTGCAGTCACAGTAGTACTAAATTTTTAAAAATCGGAGGAAGGGAAGGAGGAACAACTTGGGCCCCCAGGGTGTGACCTCTATGGAGAGATACAAGCAAAGTGCCAGGAAAACTCAGAGAAACTCTCCCTGGAGGTAATTGGGGAAGACTTCCCAAAGGGAAGTTGAGCTAAATTTGAGCTAAATTTAGAAGGATGGCTACTAAGGGTGTTTGGATTAAAATCAGAGCTGGACAGCAGTTAAAGCAGTGAAAACAGATCTTACTTAGGAGCTAAGTAAATAGAGGAAAAGGAACTCCAGTGTAGAGCCACGCTTGGTTCTGAGTACAATAAGAACAAGTGGGGATTTAGAGCCAAGGAGAGCAAGTTGGGGAGAGTCAGTGGAAGGGAAATTACTAAGAGAAGCCTCAGGGGTTGGGATGGATTCTTGCTAAATTGATCTCACAGGATTCTATCTGAAGGCAGGACAGAGCGATCTGATATCACCTGGGGGATGGTGAGGGGAGGAGGAAATCTGATCAGACACAGAGGTGGGGGGAGGGGGTGATCAGCTATCAAGGGAGGTGGATTCTCGCCAAACTGATTTAGCAGGATCCTTTCTACAACTGGGGTCTTGAGAACAAGGCCCAAGAATAGAGCCTAGCTGGAAAACTAGGGTTCCCATCTAGACTAGAAAACTAGGATTCTAGAGGTTCCCGTCTAGAGCCTGGTCTAGGAGAGTGTCCTTGTGTGTGTCCTTGTCATCTGCTATGTGGCATAGAGGGGTGTGTGTGTGTGTGTGTGTGTGTGTGTGTACATATTATGTGTGTTGTGGGGGGATTAATAAGGGTAAAGTTTGCAAGTGCAAGGACACAGAACTGTGAAACAGTGTGACCTTTGGTGAGAATTTCAAGAAGTTTGGCGGGAATGTGTTGGGGAGGACCACAGTGGAAGAACTGAAGGAGGACACTGTATACTTGGTTAACAAACACATCTAGTTTGTGTCTCAGGAGTTCAAGGAACACTTGGAGACACCCAGGAGGTGAGTGCTGTGATGTGCTTTTGTTGTTGTAGACTCATCACTCTGGCCACAGTGTGGAGGGTAGATTGGTGGGCAGTTGAGGAGACCAACTGTGAGGCTCTTACAATGGTCCAAGGAGAAAAGGTTTAGTAGATTAGAGGAGGGGGGCCTTCAGAAAGATGCTTCAAAAATGAACATGATCAATTGTGTGACTGATTTGATGACGGTGTGGGAGAGGGCAAGTCATGCTGAGAGGGAAGACACTAGGATTGATTTCCAGGCTTGAAGCAATGGTGGGCCATTCAACAAAAAGAGAGAAGAAAAACAGGAAGAGAAAAGGTTTTGAAGGAAAGACATGAATTCGGTTTTGAATAGCATGTTGGGTTTACTTTGGTGGGAAAATCTTGTGGACAGTTGGAACTGTAGGTCTGAACTTCGGGAGAGACCATGGCTAGAGACACACAGACTTGAGAGTGACCGTCTAGGGCTAGGTGAGATCTCCCAAGGAGAGAGCATGGACAGAGGGGAGGGGAGGCCCAGGGAAGCATTCACATGGGAAGAACATAGAACACAAATATCTACAAGGAAGACTGAGAAAGGATGGGCAAAGAGGAAGCCCAGAGAGGAAGGAATCTCTGGAAGCATCTGGGTTAAACAGGGTGGGTTGCAACAGTATAGTCCTTCTGGGGAAAAAGGAACCTCTGGGAGCAGCCTCTGCTGGGATATGTGTAGTGAGTTCAACTGTGGCACCTTATCCACATACATTTTGATGATCGATTTCAATATGTTTAGTTCTTGTACTGTTGACTTCACACTTGTTCCTTTTCCTTTTAGGTTGTTTTGCCCCCTCACCTAGAAAAGATCCGAGACAGACTGGCTGAAAACATTCACGAGCTTTGGGGAATGAATAAAATAGAGCTTGGCTGGACTTTTGGCAAGGTCTGTGTTCCAGTGGCCAGGCTAGGGCAGAGGGCTGGATGGCCTTGTTACCTGGGAGGGTTCTTGAAAGACTCAAATGAGGGAGGGAACCACATGAGCCAAAACTCATTCCTTCTTACTGCCCCCTGTGTAGCTGATGCTCTAAGCCTTGCTCAGTTGTCTGTCTGAGTGCGGTCGAGGGTGCTGGGGAGGCCAGCTCTGCACCGACAGAAGTGGGGGTTTACCTCCCTTCTTACTCGGAAAGGGTTTCCTCTATCAGGGGAATATTGAGCACAGTCGTTTCCCAGGACCTCCTTCAGAACTCTCATTATTCCTTTCCCCTTCAGAAAAAGCTGTCCTCTCTGCATGAGAGGCAAAAAACAAAAAACAAAAAAACGGCTGATTCATTGTTTTGGATCAGAATTTGTTTGATGTGGTTTTCAGATGATCACTAAGATTAATAGACACTCAGAGGAGATTACAGAATCTCTTGCACTAGAAAGCATTTTTCAAAGAGGGTGTAAATTGACTTTGTTCTGTGATTTGTGTAAGGTCATGTCTGAAGGCACAAGGATAAGTGAGTTGTGGAGCTTCCTATGACCCTGACACCCTCAAATTACGCACATTCCAGCTTCGTTACTGAAAGGGTCCCTGCGCTCTAACACTTACATACTGATAAAGCTACCATAAAGGATTCACCTTCTATATGACCACCTCTCTGCTGTATGCTTTTATAACACCACAGACCTCTCCTTGGGAGAGCTACTCACAATTGCAATATTATATATATTTCTATGATTATTTTATTACTGCTCTCTACCCCCATTAGACTATATTCTTTATGGGCCTGGGGCTATCCCGGCTCACCATTGAACTCCTAATGTCTAACTCAGTACCTACAACATAGGAGACACTTGACAAAGTTTTGCTGAATGAATGCATTAATTAATGTCTAGATCTGTACTGTCCAATACAAGAGTCATGAGCCACAAGCGACTATGGAGCACTTGAAATGTGACTAGTCTGGGGC